TACATAAAGCACTTATTTATAGACTCATAATGAGCCATAAAATAGCCTTCGCCTAAAAACAAAAAATAATAACATACCCAAAAACACAAAATTGTTCATTTCTCAAAACTAATTTGAGTCATTTATCCAACAATCTCCACCTTAACTCAAATTCTCTCAACTCACTCAATTAGGCAGTTAATCTTGACACCCATCATTGCACCGGCAATGCAAACTTTAACAAGAATAAACATGTGTCAAATTCAAACTTAACATGAGAAATTGTCTTCTTTTTCTTCTTCAAAGTATCTTCATTGCCACAAGTCTTTATCATCTTCAATTGTCATCAACATCTTATTGCACTCTTTTTCTCCTGCAACTTCTTTCACAATAGAAGACTCTTCGTGGCTTATCATAATATCTCCCTTGTGATTTGTTCATACCCCTATCTGAATCTAACTTCATCACTAAAACTTGTTCATTTGAGACGTATTACTTGGATTCTTCATATTTACAGTCTCTAATAGAGCAGTTGACATCTCATCCATAGTCAACATCATTTTTTCAACATCCACAGTCAACATCACAGTCAACACCTCATCACCAAAGTCTCATATGATTTGGGTAGGGAGGCCAACAAAATTACCGCTTTATCTTCCTCATCAATTTTAACCTCTACACTTTACAATTGAGTTATACACTTATTAAAATTATTTATATGATCCTTAACATCAGTTTCCTCATCCATCTTCAACTCATACAATTGTTTCTTCAAATATAATCCATTTGTTAGGGATTTTGTCATATAAACTTTTTCTAATTTTTTCATAACTCAAAAAGAGATGTTTCATTCATAACACTATATTTAAGTTTAGGAGCTAAACTTAAACGAATAGTGCTTACCGCTCTCATTTCTAGTCCTTCCCAATCTTCATCTTTCATATTTTTTGGCTTCTTTCCTTGTAGCGTTTTTAGTAATCCCTGCTGAATTAGAACATCTACTGTACTCTGCATGATGCTGAAATTGCTCTTTTCATCAAATCGTTTAATCTGCTCAAACTTAATCTTGGACACCATCTTGACTTTTTTTTTTAAATCTTCACCTCAGCTCTGATATTAGTTGTTAGGGAAAACACACCCTTACATCCACGCAGCACAAAAATAAACTGAAACAAAATAATAAAAAAGTAGAAGATAAAGATTTAAGTGGTTCGAAAAAATTTCTTACGCCCATGGAAGAGTGAGAAAAAAATTTACTAACAGTTTTAGAATTACACACTCAATAAACTTTCTCATTTTCTCTCTCTACCCAAAACCTCATACACTCTTACCTATCTCTCTCTTTCAAAATGAGGTACTCTTTCTCTACACTTTTCTCTGAGTACATTTTTCTCTAAACACATATAAAGCCTCATAGAAAGCACTTATTAATAGACTCTTAATGAGCCATAAGATAACCCTTGCCCAAAAACAGAAAACAACAACTTACCCAAAAACACAAAATTGTTACTTTCTCAAAATAAATTTGAGTCACTTATCCAACAATCTCCTTTTTTCTGATTTTAAAATAGGTAAGTTGACACAAAATCAATAGTTTCGAAGTGCAAGTTACCTTAAAATCATTACTTTGGGAATAATAATGCAATTATAATTAGTGCATGTAATCATTATGTTAGTATTATAGACCGAGTGGGGATATTTTGAATGATTTTGTATAATTCAGTGAGTGAAAGGAAAATTCAAAGAATATGTTGAACTTGAGTTCATAATTTAGGAGTATTTATAAAATTAATTTTAATTTATTATATAATTTTAAAATCAAGAATGACTATATTTTTGCCTTTTTATATCATGTGAAGGGTGAAAACATTTTAAATTGAGTCTAATACAATAGGTGTGTGTATATATATAATATATCCTTTCAAATATATATATATATATAGTTAAGTAAATAATTACAACCATTGTTATAAATAAAATTTCAAAGAATATATAGGACTGAAGGTTCACAAAAATTTCATCGATATTTTACGAAAATTTCTAGAACATTGTTTCATTAATTAATACTAAATCAATATTTCTATGAAAATTTGACATTTGGGTCAATTTTAAGAAGAACTTCTCAGATATTCTATGAAAGAGATATTGTACGCCTCTCTCGATGTCGCTAGTGTCAAAATACTACAATGAATGTTTTGCAAAATTATCGAAAAAAGAAATGTCAAATTTTCTAACCTACCGACTAGCTCCGCGTAAAGTCTTTAATGGCGAAGAGAACAACCGCATAAATCCGTACAACAAGCCCTTTCTGAGGCAAAGTTGCCGCATGCCTGGCCATACACATAGCCTACTCCTCACCTAAAGCATAAAAAAGTAGTCACAATCCAGTCACCAAAATTTGAAGCTTCGCTTTTGAAAGGAGTAAAAGAGTAAAACACATAGTTATGTCGAAACCAATTACTCGGGCACGGACAGTAAAAAACAGCCCTTGCTCCTTCCTCTTTTGGAGTTCCGCTGGGATAAATCGTCTCACCGTGACCTCCGGCCGAGTACTCCCCTTGTCCTCTCCCTTAGGGGGCCGTCCACCGTACTTAGGATTTTTTTGAAGAATGGGTTAGGGTGGTTGGGTTTTGGGCCCGCACATCAGTCCGTAAAGGTTCCTTCAGCCCACTAAGGAAGTAGGTCATCTCCTGTTCATCTATTAGTGGGCCAGCCTTCCCCAACAATCGTTCGAAACGACTCTAATAATCTCTCACCGTCGAGTTTTGTTGGAGTTTACATAATTCTCCGAATTCGTGTTCATAAGGTGCCGTTCCAAACCGAAGCATCAATTCAGACTTGAAATCCTCCCAATCCATTTGGACTTTGAGCGTTTTCTTCCTTTGGATCCAGATCTGAGCGTCTCCCTCCATGTGGTACGAGGCTAATCGCACTTTCTCTCTTTTCTCTGTCCGTTGAAACTCAAAATATTGTTCCGCTCAGCACAACCAGATGGTGGGATCATCCTTTCCATCATATCGTGGAAACTTCAACCTTACCGCCTTTGCCAGTACGGTTCCCGTCAACATCTCCCCAGTAGCTCCCGGTCGAATTTCCCTCCGGTTTGACGCGGAAGCTTCCTCCCGAGTTTGAATCAGCTAGAAGAAATCATTCATCTGCTTCAACATTCTTTCTTGCCCAATGCTAAGAGACGCGACCTGTTGCTCAAGGCACTGGTAACGTTGGTCGTCTGCCATGTCTGTCTCTGATACCAAGTTGTTATCAACCTCTGTCTCCGCGGTCCCACGGCCCCGTCCTTGCCTGTTTCTAGCTATTGTGACAGTAAAAAAAATGGCGCTAGATGGAAATAAACAATGAGAAAGACTAAGAATGAGTTTATTCATCTCTATCCTAAAACATTCTTTACAGAATCCTTTTATAGCCTCCTAGGCTACTCAGCCCACGGCTCCTCCCAAAATGGTTATAACCGTTTCTTGGAACTAGAGATAATGAAAGAAACAATAACAACATTGGGACCACAGCCCCGCATCAGTAACAAAAACAGAGAATAAAGGAAATAACAGTAAAAGACTAATTCACCCCTCACGCAAGTAATAGGTCCATAACACTAACTTTTCGGCAAAATGTCAATGGCAGAATGTACACGTCAATGACGAAGAGAGTAGTTGCTGAAATTTATAACACAGTCCTTTCTCAAACCGTAAGGGTCCCACGCATGCGTTTTGAGGGACATATTATTTTTTGTATATTACCATTTGAAACAACAATTATAAAATGGTTTGGAATAAAAAGAGAAAGAAAAAAAAAATAAAGATAAAAATGAGAAAAAAAAAATTGAAGCAAAAGAAAAAGAAAAAAGACAAAAAAATTAAGAAAAAAATTGTGCAAAATGTTTCACAATTGACACTGAAAGTTACGAAGATCACACATAAAAATATTTATATAAGAACACATTTGAAAATAAATTAATTTAACAGAGTAATTATAAGAAAATAATATTTTAAATAATAGTAAAAAAATATTTAAAGGAAATCCACGGCCCCGTCCTTGCCTGTTTCTAGCTATTGTGACAGTAAAAAAAATGGCGCTAGATGGAAATAAACAATGAGAAAGACTAAGAATGAGTTTATTCATCTCTATCCTAAAACATTCTTTACAGAATCCTTTTATAGCCTCCTAGGCTACTCAGCCCACGGCTCCTCCCAAAATGGTTATAACCGTTTCTTGGAACTAGAGATAATGAAAGAAACAATAACAACATTGGGACCACAGCCCCGCATCAGTAACAAAAACAGAGAATAAAGGAAATAACAGTAAAAGACTAATTCACCCCTCACGCAAGTAATAGGTCCATAACACTAACTTTTCGGCAAAATGTCAATGGCAGAATGTACACGTCAATGACGAAGAGAGTAGTTGCTGAAATTTATAACACAGTCCTTTCTCAAACCGTAAGGGTCCCACGCATGCGTTTTGAGGGACATATTATTTTTTGTATATTACCATTTGAAACAACAATTATAAAATGGTTTGGAATAAAAAGAGAAAGAAAAAAAAAATAAAGATAAAAATGAGAAAAAAAAAATTGAAGCAAAAGAAAAAGAAAAAAGACAAAAAAATTAAGAAAAAAATTGTGCAAAATGTTTCACAATTGACACTGAAAGTTACGAAGATCACACATAAAAATATTTATATAAGGACACATTTAAAAATAAATTAATTTAACAGAGTAATTATAAGAAAATAATATTTTAAATAATAGTAAAAAAATATTTAAAGGAAATATATTTAAAAATATATAAAAATTAAAAGTTAAAAGATGTAATAAAAAAAAGATAAGGGAGGAAAAAGAAAAAGAAAAAGAAAAACTCAAGAAAAAAGTTAAGAAAAAAAGGAAAAAAAAAAACAAACAAACTTTAGTAACGAAATGGCGGCTAGAAACTGGGAGAGTATAGATAATGTTTTGTAGATAATGTTTTGCATGGGTGATGTTTATGAAATTGAATAACCATAAGCACAAGAAAAATTGAAAACCTCTTTATTCAAGTCCGCAACAACTCCAGATCACACACTAATCCAAATTCGTCACCACAAACGTCACTTTTCCCCTAATAACCCTTATTTAAAGCTGTGTCCTCGCAATGTAACGCATTAAACTCCAAAATCATAAGTATCACTTCATCACTAGCTCCAAAGCCAAACCCCACTCTCAAACAAGCCTCACCCTCCTTTACGCGCCGCTGCAACTTCCAAGAAAACTATGACACAACCGCCGCGCTTCCTCCTCGTAACCTATCCCGCGCAGGGCCACATAAACCCTTGTCTACAATTCGCCAAGCGCCTAGTTGGGGCGGGCGCCGACGTCACCTTCGTCACCACCTACTTCGCCCACCGCCACATGACCAAAAGCAGAGGAGACACAACCGCCGCCGCCAACCGAAACGGCGTAGTGTCAATATCCTACGTGCCGTTCTCCGATGGACACGACGACGGGTTTAAGCCGGGGGACAGCGTTGACCACTACCTGAACGAAATCCGCCGCCGCGGATCGCAGGCCATCTCCGACCTCGTCATCTCCGCTGCCAAAGAGGGACACCCTTACACCTGTCTGGTCTACTCCCTCCTCCTTCCGTGGGCCGCGCTGACAGCAGAGGAGCTCTGTCTGCCGTCCGTCCTCCTATGGATTCAGCCGGCCACGGTTTTCGACATCTATTACTACTACTTCCACGGCTACGAAGACATCATCATAGAAAACAGTACTAAAGACCCTTCAACTGACCATAACTCATCAACGACACTACCGGGGCTTTCGTTGACGTTAACCCGCCGCGATCTTCCGTCGTTTATGGACGCCGCTAATACTTACTCCTTCGCTATTCCCTTGTTCAAAGAACAGCTTGAAGTACTTGACAAGATTAAAAATCCCAAGATACTAGTGAACACATTTGATCAGTTGGAGCTGGAGGCGTTGAAAGCGATTGAGAAGCTGAACTTGATCGCAATCGGACCCTTGATTCCGTCGGCTTTCTTGGACGAGAAAGACCCTTCTGATACTTCCTTCGGAGGTGATCTTTTCCATGTTGATAATCAGAACTACATTGAGTGGTTGAACTCCAAACCAAAAGGGTCGATCATTTACGTGTCGTTTGGGAGCATGGTGGAGTTATCAAGGCCTCAAATGGAGGAGATCGCAAAAGGGTTGTTGGATTGTGGACGTCCCTTCTTGTGGGTCATAAGAGAGAAGGCTAAGAAGAAAGAGAGTGAAAAGAAAAACGAGGAAAGAGAAGAAGAAGAAGAGAAACTAAGTTGTCACGAGGAATTGTCAAAGCTAGGGATGATAGTGCCATGGTGTCGCCAAGTCGAAGTTTTGTCGAGCGCTTCTTTGGGGTGTTTTGTGACGCATTGCGGGTGGAATTCTACGTTGGAGAGCTTGGTTTGTGGAGTTCCGGTCGTCGCGTTTCCGCAGTGGACGGACCAAGGGACGAACGCCAAGTTGATAGAAGACATGTGGAAGACTGGTGTGAGAGTGAAGCCTAACGAGAAGGGAATAGTTGAAAGTCAAGACATAAAGAGGTGTTTGGATTTGGTAATGGAAGGAGAGGAATTGAGAAGGAATGCCGTGAGATGGAGGGATTTGGCGAGAGAAGCTGCGAAGGAAGGTGGGTCTTCTGATAAGAATCTCAAGGCTTTTGTGGCTGAGATGATTGGTGAAGGTGATCATGATCATGGTTTCTTGGACTAGAATAGCCAAGCCTTTCTGGTGCCATGTAAAAGCTATTTTTGTGTTTTTCTCATTCTTTGCTAGCTAAGCCTTCGCTAGCTGTCTTTGTCTCCGAACTAGCCTAACCTAGTGCCTAAATCTCTGCCATGTGACTTCAAGCAACTAAAAAGCTAAGAGAAATTGTTTCGACGAATGGAAAGGCAGTTCTATTCATTATCATGAATGTTGAGTACGCGCATTTGTCTCAATTTATAGCCTGTACGCCCTATTTATCCTTACAGGAATTTTACACTCATTAAATACAAACGTAGGGTTTATTTGTAGTGTTCGTTTAGTTCGTTGTTTTGAGTTTTTAATTTGAGTTGAGATATGATTTTATGTGAGAGCTTTTTATTGTAGCAAAAAAATTAGATGTGATTGTTTCTGAGAGTTTTTTACTGTAGTAAAACTCGAATTCTAAACTCGAATCGGTAAAATGAACGGAAATGTCTATGTGAATCCCACCACAAACATTTGTTTATGTGGATAAATCTCTATCGAAAAAAAAAAGAATTTTCTTTATTAGTCATCTTGACATTAGTTTCAGTGGGGCACGTAGTCAAGATAAGGTTTTGAATTAATATTGATACAATATAGGTGAAAACTCTAGACTCTCTAGTACTACTAATTACAATACTTTTCTTTTTTGGGTTAAATACCGACAGTGTAAATAAACTCTAATGTTAAATTAAGAAAAACATTAAGAGTAAAAAAAAAAAAAAAAAAAACTCTTATACTTTATACTAATAAAATAATCATCTTCACTACTCTAGTAGTTAATTATATTTAAAATATACTACAACAAAGAAGGCCATTTGTAGCGATTTAATGTCATCGTAAATAGGTATTGTGTAGTCGCAAATACAACATTTTTGACGACATGTTGTCGTAAATTAATCGCCGTAAAAAATTAGACGTAAATGATATATTTACGACGATAAAGTTTTGAGATGTCGTTGCAAATATATTCGTGACGATAGTCGTCACGAATAAGTCGTCACGAATGTTCTTTCTCACGTGTTGTTCTTCTTTGCACGACAGATGACAGTGTCGAGTTTGATGTTTTCTTTGAAATTGTTTTTTATCTCGTTTTGTTTGCTTTTTATATTTCAATTAGATTTTGATTTAGATTTTAAAATCTGATTGTTAACTAAATTTAATGATTTTCATATATTGGTTTTAGATTTGAATTTTTGGTTTATTGTGGTTTTGGGGTTTGTTTTAGTATTTTCTTTTCTTTTTCTTTTTTAATATGTTTTTAGATTAATTAAAGATTAAAAAAAAAAAAACATTTCATATCCTTTAAAAAGGGCTTCAAATACCATCATGACATGTTTTTTAATCATCGAAGTGCAATTTAATATTTTTTAAAAAACAATTACACATGGTATATATATAAATATATATATATATATATTTGGAAGAACGGTCAAGATAAGGAAAGTAATTTTTATCCCACGTTTTAATATATATGCAGGGAATTAAATATATGAATCTCTTAAAATAAGGTTGAAACCTTAACCTAACATTCCCAGTTCTTTTTGAGCCAATAAAAGACATGTCGCACGTGATCTTAACCAAATTCCCTGCTAATCATTTCGCTCCCTTTGTCTTTCTTGTTTTGGAATTAACTTTTGGTTAATTGACCATAAACTTTTTGGCCTTTTCTGGACCACATACACGATATCTTGCGTTACACGATATGAGAAAACAAACACAAAACAAAAAGACAATCTCAAACTAAGTTTTATCTTGCGTCCGGAAGCAACCGCCGCCACTCAGCTATTCGCAAACTCAAACT